TATCTCACGAGATTGATCGAAACTCAATTACTCTTCGTATCATTTTTACAACAATATTTAAGCTAAAGTTAGCTTGAAGAGAAGCTTAACGACCTCCGATGACAGAGTATGAAACTCGTCAATTGGCCGAACCACAAACTGTACCCCAAAACGGCCTTGAGCAGTCGTGACTGTGGATTAGCGTGCGAAGCAGTCGTTGGCGCGCCGCCGTAAGACCACGATCTGCACGTCAGACTTAAAAGCCAGACCAATACACAAATATCTTGCAAACCAGTTTCTGTCAAAACGAAAATCCCATTAATAGTAAATACTTAAAACAGCTTATCGTAATAGTTACGAAGACGAGATTACTGTCGCATGCCATGCATTTGTAGTCAAGCTTTATTCGCATTCGTTCTGCAACGAACTGGGGACATGCTCTCCAAAAGACTATTCACACCCCTTCAGAAACATCATCACGTCCGGCTGAATCTGTAGTAAGGATTTGCCAAGTGCTAGTTCAAAACGCAAAAGACTCGCTTTGTCGTAACAGTCAGGCTTGCTTGATGACTCGATGGGGGCTAAGGTCATGTTGCCAAGGCGAAGACGTGACTATCCTCGAATCCTCACACATCCACATTTCGCATTCTACTCAGGCCTGCGGACGAGTAGATGAAGCGAGACTGAAACTGCGTCCCCTCCTTCGGGTCATTGAGCGTTTTCTGTCGCAATCTAATGCGAAACCAAACCTGCATCCAGCTCATCGGTGACAGAATCACATTGAGTTGCTATCGTTAAATAGGGAAAATGGTGCATTTGCTAACAATTAAGTTCCCTACAGTCGTTAGCATGTGAATACTTTAAAAAGTTAGCATTAGAAAGACTGGAATAGATAATGAATTTAGCATCGCTTCTGGACCACCAACTGGATGGCCCAACTCCTTATCCTCATTACTTTAGTACCCTTTATCAATAGCCTTCGCCGTAGAGACGGTGGTATCGTCGAACTGCAACTGAATGGCGTCTGAACAGAGCTGGGCAGGAGGTGACGATGAGGGTGACGGCGGCGACAGAGACGATGACAACGTCGATGCCTCCTTCGAAGAGACGGGTACTTGAACTGCATCTTCTGTCGAGATGGCGTGGTTTGGTGTCCACTTGAGCACCAGACGTCCATTCCCGGGGCCCGATTCCGAGCCGAGTAGATGCATCGAGAGGTAGCCGGGAATTGGATCTGTGGCGTCACGCTGAACATGTTTGCCGAAAGCGATTAGGATTTTGTGTCGTGCATGAGGTATGGGAAGAGAGAAAACATAAAATCATGAATTATGGAAAATCCTATGTAGAACTTTAGACGCGTCTGCCCATTCCATACCGAATTAGCAAACATGTGCTTCCCTTTTATGCTCTGGTAGTCATCAAGGCAGCAGAACATTTCAGCATAAGCATTATGAGTATTCATTTTGATTATTCTAAGCCCGACCAACAGCCAGACGATACAGTGCAGAAAGAGTTTGCCTTAAATGAGCTTGCATTGGCGTCAGCATTTTACATTATTTCCTCTCATATGTCCACCATAATCCCCAACTAAGCAGCCTTCCATACAACAGGGAAAGAGGACAGCCATCCTGACGACCACTACGGCAACTGGACTCGTTTGCCCACCAATAAACTAGAAGGCGGCTGGTCTTGGGAGGATCACTTGATTAGACATCAAACCTAGCTTGTCTAGTTATGGTTAAACAAATAAAGAATTACCAACCAGTAAAGAAACGGAAAGAGCGGCTAACAGGGTCATTGAACCATGAGCAGTGTGTGACTGTGAAGTTAGAGTCTCGAACTATCCACATCTATGCTCGGCATATGGTAGGATAGTAAAAAAAACAAGAAGGATAGTGTATACCGGGAGTTTTTAGTAGAAAAACAAACAAAAAGATCCAGTATTTCCATCATTCATGTCCATGAAAGTTCACAGGGTAACAATATCAGTCAACTAACAAAGAAACAGAACGGGCGCCAAAACTTTAAGCACAGAAAGGGAGAAAGTAAGACTTACAATTCAGGCTGAGGGGAAGAGTTAAAAGAGTATACACAAAAATTAAAAATTAAAAACAATGAGCCAGTCCGAAACAAAAAGAGAGAGCCAGAAGTAGCTAATATGCAAATATAGAATAAGGCTAATTTTAACTTTTAATGACGAATAAGAAATGACTTAATTAAAAACATAATGACGACATAGTGGATATTACTAATACACAACGAAAGGTAGTTAGGCATCAACGTTAAGAATGGCAGGATGCAAATATCATATGAGCTTCTGTTAATATAGTAAAAATGTATCCCATCAACTTATTAAGAATATTAATGTGATTTATTCCTAATTATAAAAACGCCACTATGAATGTCTCTTAATGTATACAATATTTTTTGTGTAACAATCATTAAAATAGTAAAGGCCATCCCACTCGAGGGTAGTCACGTCTTCACCTTGGCAGCAAGACCCTAGCTCCCATTAAGTCATCAAGCAAGCCTGGCATACTGTCATCTTTATTGACTGTTCAAGAGTCATTATATTATCTACAATTAATAAAATTTCCTGTAGCCTGTCCTCCCTAAGTTGCAAACCTCAGACGGCTGTGAACTTTGTGGTCAGCACAATAGACCAGTATCCGCCCTCTTTATAATTGGCCTATTTTAAGTAGACTTATTTTTCGGCAATTTTAGAACAAAGCTAAGATAAGGCAATGAATAATAGAATAGTCAGTGAACAATCAAGCAAGATTAGTAAGACAAATATTAATACATAATTGATTGAGAAGATAATACCAATCAAACGATTGATTAACGAAAAAAGTCGTGGATACATTGCAGCTTAATTAGAGTTGAAAATTTCGAGCATTATTAAAGAATGGGGTGCGCGTCCACGAAGAGCAATTCCAAAATAATTGGAAAATTTCTAATTATATTAATTATTTTTTGGCAAGTCTTACTGACCTGGTAATGCATTCCTAGCCAAAATTTGATTTGCTTTTTCGTAAGAATGTCAATTTACATGAGTCATATTAAAAATAATATTCATTTAGGGTGAGTTTAGAAACTGTCACCTCAAGTGATATAGGGTGACCAAATTCATAATCGAGAAAAGCAGGTAGTTTCGGAACATAACGTCACACGTTGAGGTGAAAATACATATTTGCCTCCCCGGCAATCCCTGTAGAAAATTTAAGTTTTGTGAGGCTTGGTTTGTCTTACCTTGAAAGCCACTCACTGATATTCGTGGCTCTGTAGCGTTGTGATAAAATAGGCGCTTAACGCGTAAAATTCAGGTGTGAATCTCATTGGAATACTAAATTTATATCACGTATGATCTAAGAGAGTCTTTAAAGCCTATTTGTAAATGGAAAATACCAAATACAACAGTTGT